CTCTATTGTAAAATAAAGATAACAAGTGGGTTACTGTAATGGATGTTATTAAATTTGATATAATACCATTGTATACAAAAATTATTCTGAGCGAAGACAGTTTGTTAGTCTAGGGTAATTTATATTAAATTAATTATATTGTTATGATTTCAAAAAAAAATTGTTGATACCTATTAAATAAATTCCAAATTAATCATATCAGATTTATTATGTACCCGCCTCACTTAGTCATTTATAGTATATACCAGGGATGGCCAACATGAAAACATCCACAAGTCACATGGATAAATTCAATGATATCAATACCCAAAATGTTTATAAATACATTTTATAATTTTATGGATTTATTGTGAATAAGTAAATAATTGTTTTTTTTTTTAGAAAAAGCGAGCCACAATTTGGTATATATAATAAGTCATTAAGGATATTAACTATCACAATTAGAAAACAAAGTATACTCTTGAAATTTAAAGTACCCCAAAACAAAAAAAAAAATAGTCTTAATTGTATTCTCTTCTTAATTATTCTTTATTTAATATTATCTATTAACACTACAAAATATTTAATGATCAAGATAATTATTTATTATTTATTAATTTATGTAAATGTTTTTTTTTCTTTAAGCAGATACATTTGCTGGTCATATTTAACTATTTTAAAATTATTATTTAAAGGTTAATTTATAATTATCTATTTAATACACATCCATATAAAATTTGAAAATAAATAATTAATAAAACTAATCTTAAACAATTATAATATCATTCTAAATTGTAGAACTATAATTCAATTTAATATTAAATATTTTGTTTCACATACCAACTTTATTAAGAGGTAATTGTGTTTGTTATGCAATATTTTAGCCTTATGTCTTTAAAACTCTTACCTTTTAATAAACTATTCTTATTTTCTTATCTTTAATAGCTCGAGTTTAATCAGTGGCACAATTAGTGAGTAAGTTGACAAAATTAAACTTTGAGCCTCCCCCTCCCCCGGCTTATAAGAGCCTCTTAATACAGTTATTGAAGGCTCAAGAGACAAACAATAAAAATTGGTTTTTATTTTTTGTCACGTTTTATATTTTATTATAAGCATTTATGTATACCTAACTTAAAATGAGATAGGTTTACCAATAATTTAGTACTAATGTACTAACGTACTAAATTATGTATTTGCTACTATATAGTTAATACATACATTAAGAACAAAGAATAAACATCACAATTTTTATGTATTTTGTTAAAAAGTAAATAAAGATGATTAATAAATCAATATTTAATTAACTAAACACATATGGCTCTAAATGAATTCAGAATTATATTTTTTCTTTAACTGTATTTTTAATGTGGTTTATATAAAAAGCTTTTAAACTTAAATCAATAAAGCAGATTACAGTAAGCCTGTATTTTTCATAAAATATGCGTTTCTATTTTCCACATTATATATTAAATACACGACAGTCAATAAGTTTTCTTAAACTACAACTTGACTGATAAAATAATAACATTTTATACTGCATATTTTGGATGTTGGTACATATTCTTCATTAAAATGCACTTTCTGCATTTCAATACCTATAAAATGGATTTTAACTATACAGGTTTAATTTAAATATTGATTGCATAGAAGCTGTATCTTTCAGTATTAAATCAGATTATAAACGAGGCATTTTTTATTTGAAAGTTTTTATGAACAAAATAGTTGATCATTTACCATGGAGCCCAATGAAGCATGAGTTAAAGTGAGGAGAGCTATGTTTGGACTAAATAGGATGGTTTGTTGGAAAGTTTGACCAAACACCAAACCCGAATGCCATAATATTATTATGACCAGATAAGATTAATAATTGTATAGTAATTGTGTAATAAAATATTAGTTTTGAAATTTAGTTTAGACTTAAGGAGAGTGAGAAAGAGATGAAGTCACCTATTGGCAAGTTTTTATTTGTTTTAAAAATTAAGTTTCCAAGTTCAGTGTTTATCTAAAATTATATGAAAGAACTTGGTCCCATTCAGGATTGGTATGTTTTTATTTTTATGGATGGACAATTATCAGGGAGCACACTAGTATAAAAAGTAAATTATCAGGGATTTTAAGCGAATGAATATAATCTATGTATTGATGGCATTTTAATTTAGAGTGTAGGTAGGTCATTTGAGTTTATAAGAGATGGTTAAAGTATGGAATGTCATGAATACTGCCTTGCGGATCCAGCATGTATTTTTTTTTTTCATTGATGAGAAGATTTAAATTTATAGGAAGTTTAATAACTGGAATGGTTTTATGGGGATTGGCTGACTTCAGCAATGATGCTATTTTAATTACATTTTCTAAAAATCATATAAAAACTTGTATATATTTACATACTATTATAACTTGTTTTATCTAACAAGTATTACAAATTTTCAGTGGAGTATTTACGGGGCCGATCTGGACAATACATCACTTCTTGGTGGTTTTTTAACTTTATTTTATATTCAATTTCAATGAATTTTCATAAATAAATTTATTAGTAAAAATGAGGGTAAAATTATAGCCTATTTAAGTGAACTTTATATAAATGTAATACAAAAATATTTAAAAAAAACCCAGGGGAGACTGAAGATGTATTAATTTATTATAAAAAGACTATTTATCTGATATCACCCCAGAAGGAAATTTAAAAATCTCATGTAACTTTTTGTATGTACCTATATGTTTATATGTTTGCTTTATATAATTTTTATGTTTTTAATTAATGTTATAGGAACAATTACCTATAATAATTAAATATTTAACAAAAATAATTACATTTTATGCTGTATATTTCATATTTGTCCCTGCATATTTAATAATTATTGATGTATAAAAATCTGGTCTTTACAAATAAGTAATCAGCAATTAAAGTGAAACCTCTAAATACCGAACACTCTTGGTTGCCTAAATTTTGTCTATTATTTAGATTGTCCTCGATTCAGTGGGAAGGGGGGGATAAATTCTTGAAGATAACTCGGAGGAATTAATAATTATAAATTTTCAACATATTTTATTCTTTATATAATATTTCTATATTTCTATTATTGTAACGCAAATATTAATTGCACATATTATTATTTAAATTTATATTAAAAATACAGTTACTTTAAATTGTTTAGATCTTGATGCATAGTAATTTTGTGTAGCAAGGCATTTTCTAATTCAACTGCGTTGGATACAATACGTTCAGGAATACATTTGTATATTATGTAATGGAATCACAAACACAACTAAATACGAGAGTAGGAAATAGTAATGTGGGATACTTTACAGAACATAAGCTAGAAAAATGTTTTTATCGATGCAATAATGGACAGATAAGATTAACTTAAAACTATAAAAGATAGATAGATATTTATTAAGGCATTCCACGATTATTCTATATTTTAGAATTATCAAAATCAAAATTAAATTACCATAAAAGTGTCCGTTATTTATGAATTTTATTGTATAAAAATAGTAAAAATGTCCCTGTTCCTGAAAATTTTTTGACTTTTTATAAGTGTCCGCTATTTAGAGATGTCCATTAAGGGAGGTTTCACTGTATAATAGTTTTATAGACAGGTATTTTGTTCAATTTGATATTTTGATGTAAAATGTTTGATAAAATCTTCAGGGATCTAGGAGAACCCAAAATCATTATAATAAATAATTATTTTATTACTTTATTATTTAAGATATTCAATTCTATTTACTAAAACAGCTATAATCAACTTTTTTTTGCTTGAGCCAATAACATATTTTTTACAACACTCTCAAAAAAAGTAGGTATTAATGCTGTAAGTCCCCATAGGTAATTTGAAAAGGTTATAAATAAATTTAAAATTTTATAACATTTAATAATAGGTACCTAATGTAGTATAACAATTGAATAATAATTTTTGACTTAGAATTTTTTTTTTAGCTGCATAAAAAGTAAGACTTTATATTGGTTGAGAATAGCTGATATGAGTGAATAAATATATCATGTTTACATAATACATACAACATTTTTCAAATCATATTTACAAACATTTAGGTAGATAAATTAAATAAGCATTAACTTCCATCCCTCATCATAGTTATTAATTAGGAACCAGCAATATTATAACCACACCAAAAAGATCAGGGACAGTACCTAGTATCTCTATACTACAAGGTTTACTACTGCCAATAAATACTATCAACAATAAAAAAAAAGGATTCAGTATATAAATACATATAACAAATTATGTATTAAAACATATTTCATATTTAATGTTATAGGGTTAATAGCGTAAGCAAATAAATACTCACAAATTTCGGAGAATTTCTTGACTGATTGAGCTAGATCTCTGAAATACTCATATAGGATGTCTGTCATCATTTGCAAAGTCGAATTTGACATAGAATGCCAACCAATATTTGAACATATCTGCGCCACCGAGGTGGTCAATCCTTTCCTAATAAACTCGTCGGTCATGTTGATTCTCTTGAATTTCGTTCAAAACACCTGTTCACAATCGATGAATGATTAACTGTCAACCGTCGAGATATTTTAGATGTCATTGATCGAAATTCGAAATCATTGCTGTAACCCATAAGACTGTACAGAAACAATACAAAATTTGTAGTCAGTAAATGACGAGGTGTTATTATACATACTGATAAACTGGTATGAGTCATTTTTAATTAGCAATCGCTGCTATTAAAATTAGCATGGTACATTTTATTTTATTAAATATTGTCGAGCAATACATTAAATGCCATCATTTTAGCCGGCACTTGGGCGCCGATCATCGTTTACACAACGTACTGAAATTGTAGTTACACAAAAAAGTGTAGTTACGCAGAAGATCGATGATGATGTTACCCTCCTTTCCTTTGCCCATAATCCATGATAACAGATAAGTCGACGAATTGATTAGCTGCTCGCCTGCTCGGCGCTCGCTGCTGGTATATAGTACAACAATTTCCCACCAGCCGGTAGCCACTCCCACCCACCGACCACCAGCCGGTTCTGTGCACAGTGCGCTCATAACATGCACAATATTACTATATTATAGGTCACTAAACTAACGATAAACGAATACTATGATATTATTATACGACAGACGACAGTATTTATTATAATCAGTGTAATCTGTAAAGCTTTATTTGTTTATTGTTTACCACATCTGAGTGCCCGAGTGGGCCGAGTGTTAGAATCGACATTCCAGTATTCAATAAAGGTTGTTTCAAAAAACAGTTGTGATTTCAAGCACCATTCATCGCTCTTCTATTCGGTCGAAAATCTTTGTTGGATATGTTCACCACGCAGCGTTGTTGAGTCCATCAAATTACCAGGGATATTACCTATAAACCTAAACATAAAAATCAGTGGACAGAAATCAATATCCAGTATCCTTAWCATTAACAGCCATGTCGTCACTGAAATGGTTTGAAGGCGATTCCAAAGCAGCACTTCAACAAATGACGGACMGAAATTGTGCATTTTTGATCTAYATAGGTATTTATTAATATTATTTGTTTGCATTGGTACGAGCACTCAGATATACTGATTTTACTCCTTTATTTATTCTTTTCTTTTGTTTAAAATACTTGATTTCCTATTACACCAATAAGATAATTCTAAGATAATATTTCATACATTTTTGTATTATTTCTGTATCATGAAAATTTATTTTAAAATAGACATACCTAGGTATCAACTAATTTAATTAATTTAAAAAACATGTTTCTGGATGTTTTGAAAATTATATGTTTTGAAATAAAATACGCTATTGATATTAAATACAATGTTATACCAGTATTATATATATATATATATATATATGTTTTATTACCTATTAATAATACCATAAAATATAATTAGGTAGGTTAGCCTATTATAATTTATGCAATTATTTATATTTCTAGGTAATGGAAATGATGATCTTACAAAGATTTTTGAAGACCCAAATATAATTCAATTGCTGAATAATGAACTCATTTTATGTTATAAAATGGATCCACTAAGCCCAAGTTTTAAAAACTTTGAAGATATTTGTATCCTTTTATTTTCATTAGTATTTTAACTTAATCCTTTTAATCAGTTTGAACTTTTGCAGATTCGGTTAATTATTTCAAAATTTACTTTATTATTATTTTGTACTGATGTAGCATTGAAAATTAACAAATAAAATTGTAGGTACAATTATAGTTACCTACATGTACTGTATCTGTCTCACACGACATCAAATTTTTACGTTAAGAACAATCCATTTAATTTAGTTGGTTTTAATAATAGAGTAAATTAATAGTTTGTCAAATTTTTGATCCTAACCAACTTTAAAAATATAATTATATWATTATTATTATTATTTAAGGCAGCTCATGAACTTTCTATTATATTTTAATATAAACAATTTACAATTTTAAAATACTCAAAACTTACTTTAAAATTAAAGGACCTTTTCTGTTAATTCACTACCACTAATTTTTTTTTTTTTGGTTTCTCCGTTTTTTTTAGATTATTTTGTATATATTTATATATTATATAATTTTGATTTTGGGGGCATGAAGTGTGCAATATGTTGTAGTATTGTTTCAAGTAAATTATTTAGGACCATAACGCTTACACCACATGTACTCGACCAAGTAGTTGTTCAGCATTAGTCGGCAGGTAGCCCACTGATTTTTATTTCGAGATTTTATTTTGCTCTAAGAACTCTCAATCATATTAGTGTGAGCCAAAATATTAGGATCTACAAAATTAATAAGCCAAAGAAACTTTTCTAGTTCCTGTTCCCGACAGATCAGCATGCACGTTGTTGCCAATTATTATTGAACATGTTGCTGAAGGAACGACAATAATTTCTGATGAGTGGTGCTCTTACCAAAGGCTTGATCTAACTTATCAACACATTTCCGAGAATCATTCCATTAATATATAAAGTCATCTAAAAAAAAAAAAAAAAAAAAACGGAAAAACTAAAAAAAATAATAGTGGTAGTGAATTAACGGAAAAGGTCCAAATTAAAATACTATAATAAGCTCATGAGATGTCCTAGATAATTTTCTTATCTTTAATGTTTATAGGAGGTCAATTTACTCTAAATTTTTAACTRACAAAGTTAAACGCGATCTGTTGAGCGTAAAATTTACTATGTTACGCACATGTGAAATAGAAATAACACATGTAGATATAACATCCTCTTAATGACACTTTGATAAGATTAGTATGGTTTTTAAATGTATGTAATAAATATTATAGTTTTATTTACTATATTTTATTAATAATATATAATATTTAAACTTTCACAACTGTTAAACTGTGAATAAATAAATTCTTTAACTTATTTCTTCAACCAGTCAATAATGTTGTTATTCCATCAATTTATTTACTAGAAAAAAATAATACTCAACAACATATCATAAACAAAAAAGAAGTTTTGACAAATCTTCATGATATTCATCTGGATTTAAAACGTCAACTGTTGAATGCTATTTGTTGTATTATCAAAGATATTTCTGGTTTGTTTGATATTATATGTTCTATTTTACTGGATTATTATTTCAAATTAACAGATGTATATGTAATCATTGAATTATAGACACAATCAATGTCAATGACAATAAACAGAAATATTTACAATACTTGACTGAAATTACTAAAAAGGTAACCTAATATAACACAAAATACTAGATGTTTTGATAATATAATAAAATTCACTAAAATTAATAATTTTTAATTTATTGTAATTTAAATTTTTTACTGTCTGTTTAAGTAGTAAAGTGACATGTATACATTTATTCATTATATATTAACATATAATATAATAAAGTATATGTCATTTTTATATTTAAAATTCAAGTTTATTTATTGTTATAGAATCTTAAATAACTTGAAAAATAATGAGACAACAATTTGACCTAATCATCTGGTTAGAGTGTATTATTGTAAAATTATCAGTGGCATAGTTTCATATCCACGCATCCCCCTAAATATGTCATTGCCAATATTTATGAAATTCAAACATCCTATAATTAGTCTGTGGATTATGTAACGTTAATTGCTTCAAATTGTAATTTGTATTTCAGTTGCAGCTCATCGATAGTGCTAATATAAATGCTGATGTCCAAAAAGTTACAGAAGAAACTAAAAAGTAATTTATTTTTTACCAAACTTAAAAGTTTATAACATAGTAATTTAATTTATACATTATACTACTATATTATCTTATACATCATTATTTATAAATAAGTAGAATTCGTCATTTGATAACAACTAATTGCTTAATATTCTTATAGTATTTATTTAACATATTTTTAAAAGTATATTCTGTTTCTTTGTATACTTTTTGATTTGTTGTTGTAATAATAAATTGACTTTAAACTTTTAAACTTGGTAATGTTTATAACCAATGTAGTCTATTTAATCTTTATAGTTACCTGGCTATGTATCATAATGTTTAGAAAGTATTTTTTTAAATATTTTTAAAACAAGTTTAATAGTAGGTATTATCAATTCTTCATTATACCTTATAATAAGTGATTAGTGTGTATTATATTAATATGTTTGAATTATTATAGATCTAATGGTACTGCAAAAATTAAATTCAAAGTTCCACATAAGGATATTACAATTGTTAAAGAATTTCAAACAACTTCTACACTCAGAGATATTGCAACTTATATATTATGTAAAGTTAATCTCTCAGAAAGGTATAACTAATGTCTTGATTATTTCAATGYTTTTTAAAAAAATTATCTAAAATAAGACATATTTTATTTTCAGAGGTATAAAATTTATAGCTCATCGACAATTTATTGAACAAGATTTTAACCAAACATTGGATGCATTAAATTTATGTCCGTCATCAACCATTTATGTACATCTAGATATGGTGAATATAAAAATCAAAACTAATTTTTTATTTTAATACCAGGTTGCACAAAAAAAAAAAAAATTTAATGATTTAATAGAGAGCTCAATATGCTCCCTTGAACATTATTTTATGCAACTCTGCATGTAGTATTGTTTAATTGTTTTAAATTATTTATCATGTTAATGTAGGAACAATCAAACCATTGGTTATATTCCGTACTCAACTATCAATCTTGGCTWGGGAGTGTACTTAATTTTATCATAATCAATCCATTTCATTTTATTCAACATTTTTTAACAAGTTTTGTGAGACCATCGCCATCTATTGAAGCTTCAAGAACGATTAATCGTCATACCAAAAATAAAAAAAAAACTGTCAAGTAAGAAAAATTAATTGTCCAAAACTATTGCATGATAAACTTATAAATGTAGTGTTTAACAACACTAATTCAAATATATTCAATAAATTTATTAGCTTATACAAACGATTTAAATAGTTTGTTAGTGAAACCTGTCTAAATGTAAAACTATCAATAATCGGCACTTTTAATGGTCCTGTGTGTATCCATTATAGCCCGGTTGAATCGCACTTACATAATCTTTCATATTTGCATGCATTAAATAATTGGTTTGAAAAAACAATTTGTTATATCTACGAGTATTCACATGATTCGAGATATAGTACCGCATACTATGTAGTTGCCTTCAAAAGTCAAAATTGCTAGTAATTTGTATATGAATTTTGTTCTAACTATATGAGAGATACTTCTCAATGAACCTTACATTTAATTCTAAACAAATATAGTTGAACTAGTTGCCTCTCTATGGATTATAAGGGGCAACTAGGAAACATTTTTATTTATCATAGGTGTGATTTGATAGACACTAATTAAATGAAAATTATAAAGTTAATTAAATTTATCATTTAAAATAACTGTAGTTTTTTTTTTTTTTATTTATTTAGAAAGTCGACATATAAAACAGTTTCTAATATCCATCAACTGAATAACAACAACTCTGATGATGATGAAAACAACACATACAATGGGAACTCTACACAACAATTGTAATATTTAAGTGTCTTTCATAAATAATTTTTGTATACATAATATACATGTGTTAAACGGTGTTAATTTTTTTTTTAACAGCTATAGGTTTTTTATAGACATTATTTATCAATTTAAATAATTTATTTACTTTCATTATTCAATATAATACATTTTTGATCACGGAATCTAATTGTTAATATTATAGTATGATTAAGTTTCTAGTTAATAAATTTATTTATTTATTTTGTCATTGAAGTATTATGGATTATTTAAATAAACTTAATTAAAAATATGACATATTAAAGAGATAAATTATYWRKGAATTTAAAAATAATAATCTAATGATAGAAGTATTTATAAAAATAATATGAAATCCGAATGAATAAAATTGCTATGAAAAAATTAATAATATAGTGAATTATTGCAACCCTTTTATACTATTTTCTAATAAAAAATATTGTTAATTAAGTTAATTTTTATAATTTTGAACACATCAGTAGTAATTTGCCTGAGGTGCTACTAGTGRTATGTTATAATAATATACACAGACTTCAGTATTTTGGTAAAAATATATTATTTATAATACAAAAATAATTTTATTGTAAAAAAATTATAATATTATAATTTAACTAAAGTATAAGTGTTTGTAGACACTAAGTTATCACAAAATCAATTGTTAATTTAATAAAATATAAAATATTATTGCTAAAATCTTATCATGGTACAAAAATACACGAATTAAATACATCAAGAATCAGAAATATATATTTCTATAAAACTAATTTTAAGGGGAATACTAGATCTTATATCATATTCATTATTTGAGAAAAATTTTGAAAATATATTATTGTAAAAATAGAATGTMAATAGTTAAGTCAAGTCAACTGGTCGTAATTGACGCTCACCATCAGCTAAAAATACAAGCATAGCACGGTACAAAAGATGGCAGCCTAATTTACATCGATCACTATTCAACCAACGTGTTGTGTTATCATAGTATGTACCACGCTTCTCATTTGTAAGTTTGTCCAATCCAATAGCATCAATCATAGCAGCCTCTCGAATATGTGCTTCTTTTATCTCTAAATGATGGAATGCTTGTACACAAACCACTCCTAATTTTTCCTTCCATAAGCTCAAAATATATTCCGTCTATAAAATGATATAAAATGAAATATATAATAAGTAATAACTATATTCAATAACACTTTTTATAATTGTACATACTTTGCGACTTTTATCTTTATTTCTGTTTCCGACCCAAGACTGAAATGCTTCACTCATATGATCATTGGGTCTAGATTTGGTGCCTTTACCAATGTAAAATATTGAGCTAACAAATGTTTGCCATATTTCAATGGGATTGTTCATATGATCAGCTCGAGCGGGTAAATTGTTTGTAATACGTGGATCTAATAATAAATAAGTAAATGATGGACCACTCTTGATGCAAACAATAGCTTCCTCTAGATAACTCCAACTTTTTAAAGTTTTCTTCCACGAATCATATTTATCTTCAACTAGAACTTTAGTTAACTGGATACTATATGGACCTTTAAAATTAAAATATAAATTATACAATAAATGTAATATAAATATACAATAAAAATTAAAAATATACCAGATGAATTTTTAATACGCTTATCATCATGACTCAGTTCTGTTTGCTTATGTAACAATCGATTAAGTTTTCGTACATAAACTTGTTTTGTGCTGGGTACTAGTGGTCCTGGAGGATGGCCAAACTCCCTGAGACTTTGACGAACATAATCTGTATCATAATCTTTTGAAATTTCAGTTAAATTACTACTGCTATCATCTATGTAAAAACAAAATCATCGGGAATAAAATTGAATGTTAAAGATTTTTAAGTAAGGAACTGACAATTGTGTAACACGTAAAAATATTTATAGTTTATACCTAGAGAATTAATAATATTGGAAACTTCTAGATTATTTATAGCAACTGATGTTCTGGAAATTGAATTGCTATAAAAAAAATAATATATATATATTAAATTATTAAAATACAAATTAAACAAAATTTAAAATTCAATTATTGTAATAAAAATTATTACGAATATTATGAGGATATCTGAAGTATAACTAAATATTAACAAAAAGATTATTATTTAGATTTTTCAAAATTAAATCATGAAAACTCTTAAAATTTATAATAATTAGAGCTATKAATGTAATACACTAAAAAACTTTAAAAATGTTTCATAYACATAAGAAAAATYAAAGTTTAAAAAGTACCAAAATTAATTAAGCATTAAATATTTCCAATAATAAGTATTTTAAATACAATTATTATGTATTACTTTYAAATTCTGAGGAAAAATATTTTATAATTGCAACAAAATAGCTTTTTGACATTCTTTGATATAATATTTAATTTCGTTAAAATTTAAACAATGAATTCCAAAAAAAAATGTGCTCATGTGTTTTCTAAATTTATTTGGATTTTATAAAGAACAAGTATTAATTACCTTTGAGAATAAACAATATTTTAAATTTCTAATTACAAAATAATTATAAAATTTGTATGATTTTGTCGAATTTGGTAAATATTTGAACTTAAAATGGTTTTTCGAAAAATTTCCATTTACTGAAATACCTTGAAAAGTACCAGAAATGTTCAGTTTAACCTCTTATAAATACGAATTAGATCTAATTTGGTATCAGAAACCATACTCAAGGTTAAAGATAAAAAGAACTTTTACCATAAAATGTACATGTATACAAAAAATAAAAAATWAAAAAAATACATCATTGTAAAACCAATACATTAATTGCTTCACTCAAACTATTAGCTTTTAAATTCAAACTTTATATGAAGGAAGCTGTTTTACGACAAGTTAAAAATACATTTTTCTACAATTTCACAGCCCTATTAGTAATAACAGATAATAAATAAAGTACCTCATTGAGTCATAAATACTTGTCATTGATACACTTTTTGTAATATCTTCCAATTCAGTGTCAGTCTTATAAGAATCACTATTTAAAATTTGTTGTTCAGAATTTGTGTCTGGACATGTAAGAAAATCATCAGAACTCAAACAACTAGATAATCCAGATATATCTGACATCAAGTCAGTATCACTTAAAGATATATTTTCTATCTCTTTAAAAATATTTTTTGTTCCCAATTCAATCTCGTCGAGTTCAAATAACTCAGAATCAGACACTAAATTATTAGATGGAAAGCTTATATTTTCTATACTTTCAAATTCGTCTGTTACGMATTTGATTGAACTCAATATAGATCCATCATAATAAAGTTTTGATGGAATATCTTTAATGAGTAGGTTACAATGACAGTCTGATGAACTATTTGTATTTAAAATATCACCAGTAGAGTAAGCTGTTGAAGATAATATTATGCATTCATCGATGTTATTGTTTTTTTGACTAACTGAATCAAATGTCACTGACTTAGAAATGCTGTTTAAACTTTCACCGCTATTAAGATATCCACTGCTTGTATGTAATCTATCAGATTTATCAATTGTTGATTCAGCACCAATTGATATTTCAATATTCTGTGCTTTTATAGAATTTTCATATTTCTCTTTAATATCTTTTGATTGCATTGCATTAGAGACTTGTTTTTTTAAATTACCTAATATAAAAAAATATAATAAATAATAATAAAATAATCATGAGATAGTACACATAAAAACATACGAATAAACAGTTGATCTCTGGCTTTTGGGTCTGGAAAGAAAAAAACGGGGATTATTTCCCCAGACCAATAAACCAGAGTTAACCAAATAAACATTTACTAAAAGTATTAATTAATAGTTATATMAATATTAAGCAACTATTAATATTAAAATATGGCCTCAATTATTTATAACTGTTTGTTCTCAAAAACTTTGCAAAACCATATTTTGTGCTTACTTGTATAGTTTGAATGTTTCATGTAAGATTGAAGAGTTGCAAGTGATTCCCAAGCACTAAATTTCACAGCATAATTAAATACATTGAGATTATCTTCATCTTTTAAGTATGGATTGGGTATAATAAAAGGACTTTTGAGCAAAATTCCAACAACCTGAGAACGATTCCAAGCAACAGCGATATGTAGAACAGTGCGACTTCCTTCACAAAGCACATTAGGATCTCCACCATTATGTAAAAATAATGAAGTCGCTACTTTTCCAAATGCCAAGTTTTCATGCCCTGCAGCTAAATGAAATGCTGTCATCCCTTCTTCTGGTATGAGTACATTGGGATTGGCTTTATTCTGAGATAACAAAGTATTAACTTGCCTAAAGAAAAATAATAATTCAATATCGAAATAATAAATATAATTTCACAAATATAAAATTTAATAATTTATTGAGTTAATATGAAACAAACTATGAAACTGTCACACAATCAAAGGTCTACCTATGCAATTTGTAGATAGACATTGATATGACACAATTTGATTGCGTTAACACGTCAGTTAAATCTAAACTTTTTCAATTGATTGTTATTATTTTAACCAAAAACATAACATAGGTGTGTGATAAATATACTTACTGAATATTACAATCCTCAACAGCATCATACAGCGCTCGGGCCAGATACAAAGTTCTCCATTCGTCGTTCATTATGGTAGTTGCCATCATAGTTGAGGGTTAATTAAATTAATGCCAATTGTTTTTTCACTTGTTTCAAACCAGATTTAGTCCCCGTACGAATACGATTTCTGTGAAATATCGAGTCCCGGGCATTTGGAATAATATAAATAAATACATATTATATAATATATGTACACAGAACGATAGATAATGTAGGTGATCGGTAATAATTACCGTCTTTTTTTTTTTAAACTCGGAGATCAAAGTTTATTCAAATTATCGTAACGACTAAACGATTAAGTACTAATATGAAGTAGGTACGCGAYCGCACACGAACACATCTCGTAAAGTCGTAACGAGTCTCTTTAATCTCTTTTCTATGAGTCTCTCGTTATCATCGTTATCATAGTAAGTTTGTATTTACAATTTACATTTTATGTTTATCAAGAGTTGAAGAGTTGGCACGGTATTATCACAGATTATATAAAACWATATTAAATATATAATTTAGTTTTATAATTAASTTTTATATAATCTGTGGTATTATCATAAACATAGATATCAATAGATTAAAATTATTGTTCTGTGGTATTGCACTTCAACATACACAATATWTAAATATTATACCTACAATACCTATTTGTATTTATTATCTATAAGTAATGAATGTAAGAGTGTGTGGTTATTTAAAACTTATTAAGCATAGGTAGGTACCAATGCTACACATCTATTTCAATGGTACTAGGTATGAAATTCGTTGACCACCGTCCATCGTATCTTAGAGTTGAAGACAGTTGCGTCACAAATAATTTATCCAAAAGAGTAATTAGTAATTATTGAAGTTACCCATCCACCCTCACGAGTCACGACCACACATAAAATTAAAACCGGCCTATGGGTAAATTTTTTTTTATGAAAAAATAAATGTTAAATTTATTTTATTTTACAGTGACCTTATATCATATAAAAATAAAGCATGCGTTTTGATACCTGTTTACTGACCTCTTTGAGTAAATCAGTGAAAATACTTATAATATAAATAGTTTAGTGTTAATTTATTACACTGAATTTAATTATTATTACTTATTTAATAAACAATAATGAAAATTCAACATAGAAATATTTTTACACCAAACAAAATTACCTAGTCATCTAATAAATTGTTTGGGGAAATTGCTCCAAATAATTAATTTGTGACGAGAGTGGATACCTACTTCAAGTAGGTGAATATAGTACCTATATATATTTCAATTTTTTTTACACTTCATCGTGTTAACTTACTAAAACAAWGATTTGTAAACATGTATTAATAGTATTTATTTCCTAACAAAATATATATTCATGTAAAATTATATAAAAATAGAATGCTTTCCCTTGTATTTTCTTTATCATAGGTAGTTTGTTAATATCTAATCCCGTTGTTCATGGAATTTTCAACAAAATTATTAATAACCTTGATTAATATTTAATAATAACTAGTAAGTATAACTTATTATTTTCGTATTCAGCCKCTGGAAAATAYACRTTATTTATGAGGCTTGAAAGCATAGTGCATAGTTTTTAACCCATTCAAAATGTTGTTCACGCCATCTATTATGACTTTATATTTTGATTTATTTATTCATGAGATATTTTTTAGTATTCTAGTATGATTAAATTTTATTTTTGGGGTGGGCCACAGGGGGCCCGAGACTTTTTATGGTGGGCCCGGGCCCACCCCTGGCGCCGCCACTGCTTATAACACGTCATAAATMATAATAACATAATCCGTTACAAATATTTAATAAAGAACATATATTAACTAGGTAGGATATTTCAAGGTAGGTGTGATGAAAAAATTATAAATGCATTGCAAAAACGCCAAAAACCTGTTATAGCTTACCTATGTTAAAAACAAGAAATTTTAAACTTTCTTATAATATAAACCAACAAACATTATCTATAGTTTTTTAGACATCTAGACCCTAGTCCACGAGACCACTATACTTACTATTAAAGTGCATTTTAGTAGTTTTAACTACCTACCTATACTAGTTAATTAGGTACTACAGTACCTACTACACTATTTTAAGTATAACCTACCTATTTTAAGTCAATACAAATTGTTTTATGATTATGAAAAATTGACAACTCGTTTATTTATTACGACTAAATAATCACATAAGTAAGTACATAATATGGATAATACGTTATTATTTTATTAATTTTTACCTGTAAACAATTTATCAATTAATGAACTGTACATCACCGGGTGATACACGATTGCTAATGGAAYGATTGTGAACGGACCTTTTCCAGTATCATGATTCATGATAGCGAAAGTTTTTACCTATTTTTTTTCTGTGCGGCGTTGCCAGATTCGATGTTGGTCAACTATATATTTATAATCATAAAATAAATGAATTTTATATTATTTGTAGTATTTGTACAAAATCTTTCTCAACTCTAAAAATTTACCAGTAAATACAACATTTCTAAGTTTTCATAATAATTATTTTTTAGAACTACTAATGGTCCAGAGAACTTTCAGAGGACGTTCAATGGTCAATTGTATAGCTCTCAATCTAACACACGTAGTGATTTCAACTTTAAATTAAACACAGGAACAAACTTTGACAATAATAAATTGGTTCTATAGAAAAACCATGTACATAATCATATAGCCAAAAAAGATAAATCTAAAATTAAATCAACATAAAATAATTACAGTGATTATGAAATCCATAAAAATCAAATATTATATTTACAAAAACTGGAGATTCCTACCAAGAAAACATTTTTTTTTTCTTAATGTAGAAAAAACATTTTAATACATTATTTATTATTTTTAT